ATGTCTGAGTAATCCACTAGTTAGGTTGCTAGGGTTACTATTCAATGAGTTGCTTGCATGATCTTTGATTTCGATGTTTAGCTAGGGATTATCATAGAGTCTTTGTCTCGTCTTGTGCACTTAACTAATGCTGATTGCTTTACCGCGCATCTAGTAATCCGATCTTTTGTTGATTTGAGTCTCGACAGTGCTGTATCATTCGCCGGACATATTCTTTGACAAGCTAGGTTTCTTAGACTGCGAAAGTTGATCTACTATAATCTAGTGAACTGTATCAAGATCAATGGTGTCTCTGACCAAGATCAATGGTGTCTCTGAAGATGCCATCAAGCTGAGACTCTTCCTTATGTCTCTAGCTGACAAGGCTCACCAATGGGAGAAGAGCCTGCCCCATGGCACAATCACCACTTGGGATGAATGCAAGAAGGCGTTTCTTGCTAAGTTTTTCTCCACCGGCCGCACAGCCAAGCTAAGGAGTGAGATATCAAGCTTCATTCAGAGAAACAATGAAACTTTTGCTGAAGCTTGGGAGAGATTCAAGGGCTACACAAGTCAGTGCCCCCATCATGGTTTCAACAATGAATCATTGCTCTCTACTCTCTATAGAGGATGCTTGGCAAGGTATAGAGAGATGTTAGACACAGCCAGCAATGGGAACTTCCTCAATCAAGATGTGGAAGATGGCTGGCAGCTTGTGGAAAACATTGCAAACTCCAATGGAAGTTATGGAGAAGAGTATGATCGCACCAACCGGAGCTCGACCCACAACTCGATCGAGTCCGATGAGAAATTGAGAAAAGATGTCAAATCGTTGAATGAGAAATTGGCTGATATCAACTCCAAGATTGAGAATCTCAACACAAGAGTTTACTCTCTGGAGAATCATGCTTCTTCTGTTGCTGCTGCTACAAAGCAAGGACAACTACCTGGTAAAGCTATTCAGAACCCCAAGGAACAGTGCAAGGTCATCTTCACTCAAGAGGGGCTTAATGAAGAAGAGGATCAAGAGAGAGTCATGGAAGAGTTTTGTTTACTGCTAATGAATGATGAGATTGTTGCTGCTGAGGCTCCTGGAGTCCAGATTGATCAACCTGAAGTGTACGCTACTCCCATAGCCATTCACACTTCACCAGTTGAGCTTGCACAACAAGCTCGATCGGCAGCTCGATCGAGTCGACCTAGCTCGATCGAGTCAGACATCAATCCTCAAACCGATTTTGCTTGATCCTTACCAACCAGTTGACCCTTCCTCGTCTCGCCTACTTAGTCAAGGCCACAAGGAAGTGATTCACAAGTTCAGAAGAGATCTCAGTGGGATTGGAATTGAGTTGCCTCCTATGGAAAGCATGAGTGAGGCATTTGATCAAATGAAGATGGTCAAGGATGTTATGGCCAACAGTGATAAAGTTTCAGAGGTCTGAAGGTGTCTACTCAACTCAACCTGCTTACTTCACCTACTTTCTTACCAAAGGTGAAGGATCAAGGGAAATTCACTCTCCCTTGCACACTTGGGCATCTTGAGCTTGACAATGCCTTGGTGGATTCTGGAGCAAGCATCAATCTGATCTCCCTCACAATGGCAGAGAAGCTAGGCATTGCTGGAGCATTGCAGCGCCCTACTACTTCAATCATGTTTGGAGATGCAACTTCAAGTCTCCTCTTGGTGTGTTCAAGAACTATCACTTGAAAATAGGAGAATGCATCATCCAAACTGATCTCACTGTCATGGAGATGGAAGAAGAGAAGGATCTACCTCTGCTATTGGGAACCCCATTCCTTAGCACAGTTGGCGCTTCAATAGACTTTCACAAGCAAGAAGTGATTCTTCACAAGGTGAATAGTTTGGTGTCATATCGCTTGCAGCCTAGAGGTTCAGACTTTTGTGCCACAATTGAAAGCACTCCTCTCAGTTCCAAAGCTCCTGAAGCTACAAAGGTTGTGAAGGAAAGGGTTGACAAAGAGCCAAGAGTTGTGAGAGATAGTTGAGGATAAGGATCAAAGAGTTGATAAGGGACCAAGGATTGAGAAACCACGCTTGAGAGGGCTAGAGTTGAGAACCACGTTCTGATAGCCACGAGCTGATAGACTTGTTCAAGCCCCTTGTGTGCTTGATGAGGAAAGCCTCAAGCTTTGTTTGATGAGCCACTAGGAAGGGCTCTAAAAGAAGGGGAGGATGCAGCCTCTAAGGCACTTGTGGGAGAAAAGAAAGGATCCACCAGCTCAGGCCCCTTCAGTCAAGCCATCTCAGCTCACAATGACCTTGTTCCCCACCAAGTTTGAAAATGGGAAGATTGAGTACAAGATAAGGTACAAGGGGAGATCAAGACCATTCTCTAGAGCCAAGGCCTTGGTCACTTCAGAACAGTCCAGGGACCCAACCAAGCTAAAGGAGCTTCTGTCTCAAGTCCTCACTATCACCCTTGATGGTGGGACTAGCTCAACCAATGCCTAAGAGGTAAAGGTCAAGCTATGGGACCTTAAACAAGCTCACTTGGGAGGAAGTCCCATGTATCCTTGTACATATTCTTTATGCAATTTCTTCTAGTATTTTATGTCTTAACCTTTCAGGAAGTTAAGTTTAGGTGACAAGAAGCCAGCTCGACCGACAGCTCGATCGAGCTAGAAACAAGGGTAACTCGATCGAGTTCCACAACTCGACCGAGGTAAGTTTTTGAATTTCAAATTTCTAACCGTTTCCTTGGTCAAGGGGTGGGTCCCACATGTAAATTTTGGTCCCCCACTTCCTAAATTGATCAGAAAAACCCCTAGCTTTTGTCCCCTCTTTAACCCTCTTTTAATCCTGATATACCTCTATTTTACATACTTTTTATGCTATTTTACTATGGTTTTCTAATGGTTTTCTAGTGGATTCTTGTGTTAAAAGGTAGTTTTTATGGATTTATACTGCAAAGAGTCATTTTAGGTAAAAAGGTGCATTATGGAGCAAAACAGAGGATTTGGACTCAAACCAGTTCAATGCCACTGCATCAACTTTGGATGGAGCTAGAAAAAGATCTACTCAATGGATTTCATCAAGACCAGTTCCCTGCGTGCTCTGATTGAGTTAACTTTCCAACGCAACTGGAACGGCCTCATTTGGATGAGTAGAAAAGGAGTTATAGCCAAAAGAGTGAAGACTGTCCCGGCTCTATCGAGAATCCGCGCCAAGCCGTGCAGACGGCCGGCCGAGGAACGAAGTTCTCGGCCAAAGTTCGATTCATCCGGCCGAGCACGCATCACGACCCGGGAAACAATGTCCCGCGGTCGGCCAACCACGACCACTCACGCCACGCCGCGCACGACCACGCCGCGCGAGCCGGGAAGCAAGCCTCGCGGCCGCGCACAACTCACGTACCACGGCCGATGCGCCGTCCGAGCCGGGAAGCACGTCCCGCGTCCGGCCGAGAAACATCGGCCAATCTTCACCCGTCCGACCACGCGGCCGACCGAGAAATCATCCGGCCACGACCGTTCCGACACGCCACGACCCGACTGTCCGGCCGACCGTCCCGACCGACCGTCCGAACGCCGCGGTCGACCCGAAGCCGTTTTTGAAGCCCAATCCGCACAATTCAAGCCCAAAGCCGGCGCCGACTAGCTAGATTAGGTCTAGCCGCTTTTTCATACTTAGTGCATTATAAATACTTCTTTTTAGCCTTGTAACTCAAGAAGGAGAGAGACCACAATATACTTTACATCTTTAATAAAGTTTTGCTTGCTTTTACTTTGTTCTTGCTTGTTCTCTTTCTAGAGAGGATTCGAATCTCTGTTCTTATGAATATGAATTCGTGTTCCTTCTCTATGTCTGAGTAGTTTACTTGTTAAGTGATAGGAAGTCAAAGGATAGCATTCATGTATGCTTGATGATTGATCACAATTAGGGTTTTACTTATAATCTCCATCTTTGCTTATACTTAATGCTTGTTGTTAATCTGGCCAATTAGCATATGATCTTAGGTTGATTTGAGCCTCGACAGTGCTGTATCATTCGCCTGAACTAGTATTTGGTGGGCAACCTCTTTTAGACTGCGAAAGTTGATTTACTTGTAGGTTGTGAACAATTGAACTTAATCGAACTAATGCTTGATTTAATCACCTAGGGACATACCAAAAGTTTAGCGACTAGGTAGATTAACAAAGGGGTCGGAGCCTCGACAGTGGAATGATCATACCATAGTGTTTCAAGTTCTAGATTGGCACCTAATTGCAGTAACCCTAATTGATTGATTTCTTGCTTCATGAATTGCTTATCTTAAGACTATCCTATTGCTTAGCCCTTTCTCTCCTATTGATTTCATTCTTATTACTTGCATGCCTTTACTTTACTGCACTCAACCAACTTATACTTTTGCCCTAGCTCGATCTCAACTTATAGTTTGTAGTGTGCAATCTGGTCCTCGTGTTCGATACCCGTTTACTACTTCTGACCTGTGCACTTGCAGAATCAGGGATAGGAAAGGGGAAGACCTGATCCCGCGATCAAGTTTTTGGCGCCGTTGCCGGGGACCAATTCGCACCTACAAGCTCTTGCAAGAGAGCTAGTCTAGGGTTTTTCTTTTCCTTTTTAGTTTTTGTTATTTTTCCTTTTTCTTTTGATTTGTTTTTCCTTTTTGTTTTTGAGCTTTTTCAGGTTTTCCTAGTTAGATATGGAGAAGGATTCACAAGTCCTTGCCCTATAAAGGCGATCCACTTCGCCAATACCACCTCAAAGAACCTCTTGGACGAACAAGAGATGTCAAGCCCTCAAGCACCACCACCTTCTTGGGATAGTCCTCCAAAACTATCTCCTTGAAGACAAAGAAGAAACTTCTTCCCTACCTTGAAGCAGCCGACCTGGAGACGTCTAGCCAAGCCGCATCATACAGAGAAGAACACCTTCTAGCCACCAGAAGAGGAGATTGACCCTGAGCTGATCGAGTTCGTGAAGAGAGATCAATTCCATGATCTGTTTTCAGAGTATGCGCTGGAGCACATAGATCACTTTGACAATCTTTGTGATTCCTATGGAGTTTTTGACTTTGAGAAGAAGATGATGCTATTCAGCACATCACTAGCTGGACCAGCACTAGATTGGGCGCAGCATGAACCACTCTCTACAATCGAGTCATGGATCGATTTTAGAGAAGCTTTCTTGAAGAGATTTGCAAGGCTGCCACCTTTCAAATCCAAGTACAATCACTACTCTCATCAGCTTGAAGAAGAATGGGGAGGCATACCACCCCATCCTGAAGTCTTGAATGAAGAGCTAATCAAGCATGTGGAGAGGAATCCTTTCTACAATTCTACTTCAGAGTGTGCAAAGGAGCATCTATGCAACTTTGAGCAGCTTTGCCACGACTATGGACTTGGAGACAACCCCAAGAAGATACAACTTTTCCAACTATCACTAGCTGGACAAGCCAAAGAATGGGCTAAGTTCATGCCCAACATGCTTTCAAGACTTGGAATGGATACAAAGGAGCTTTCCTTTACAGATTTGCCAAGGTCCGATTTATGTTCCACCACCACGCCCCAGCTATTCACAACACCATCCATCATCACCAGACATAAATCAGACACCACTTTTCCCCAAGGAGAGTATCAAGCTGCGCGCCAAACCAAGATTGAAGAGATGCTTCAAGAATACTTGAAGAATCAAGATGAGAGTACAAAGAAGATGGAGAGGAGAATCGATTCATCCATGAACAAGAACAAAGACAAGAAAATATGAAATGGTATATACAAGGGATGGTGTTTGGATACCTCAGTGTCCCCCAAAGAACTGGGAGACTAGGTCGTGGTCTGGAGATGGGAGACGGCCATCAGGAGCACTCCATGCAACTGGGTTGCTCTTGTGGCTCACTCGATCGAGCTTGCTCTTGACTCGATCGAGTTGTGCCTCGAGTTAGCCACTCGTCTTCCTAAAACCTGCTCCTGTGAGACTCAGCCAAGAAAAATCATAAAAGTAAAAGGATAAAGTATAAATGCATAAGATAGACATGGGAATTCCTCCCAAGTGAGCTTGTTTTAGGTCTCTTAGCTTGACCTTACCCCTTTTTAGGCCGGGGTTGGATCTTCTAGAGGAGTGATGATCTCCTCTGTGGGGGTCATTCCTAGATATGGCTTGCATCTATGTCCATTTCACTGTGAATTCCTTCCCCTCTTGATTGAGCAAAGTGAGGGACCCATAGGGTAGAACTTCGTGAATCTTGAATGGTCCCGCCCACTTTGACCTCAGCTTCCCGGGAAACAACCTTAGCTTGGAGTTATACAAGAGCACACTGTCCCCAACCTTGAAGTCCTTAAGGCGAATCAGTTTGTCGTGGGCTGCCTTGGTTCTCATCTTGTAAATCCTAGAGTTCTCATAGGCATTCATTCTTATCTCCTCCAGCTCAAACAAGTTCATTACCCTCCTTTCTTGTGCTGCCTTTATATCAAAGTTCAGCATCTTTACTGCCCATAAAGCCTTATATTCGACCTCCACAGGTAAGTGGCAGTCCTTCCCATACAGCAAATTGAAAGGAGACCTTCCAATGGGGGTTTTGTAGGCTGTCTATAAGCCCAAAGTGCCTCATCAAGCCTTGCTGCCCAGTCTTTCCTAGTGAAGCTCACAGTCTTCTCCAATATGGCCTTGATCTGTCTGTTGGAGACTTCAACTTGCCCACTGGTTTGAGGGTGATAAGGCGTGGCGACCTTGTGTTTGACTCCATGGCTTCTCATCAACTTTTCAAACACCTTGTTGATGAAATGGGAGCCTCCATCTGAAATAACAACCCTTGGGATGCCGAACCTCGGAAAGATGATGGTTCTGAAAAGCTTGATAACCACCTTGGCGTCACAGGTTGGGCAGGGAATGGCTTCAATCCATTTGGATACATAGTCTACAGCAACCAAAATGTAGTTGTGCCCGTTTGAAGAGGGTTTGAAAGGTCCCATGAAGTCTATTCCCCATACATCAAAAATCTCAACTTCTAGAATTGGGTTTAGTGGCATCTCGTCCCTCTTGGTGATCCCTCCTTTCCTTTGGCATGGATCACACTTGGCAATGTAGTCTGCTGCATCCTTAAACAAAGTAGGCCACCATAAACCCGATTGCAAAACCTTAGTTGCTGTTTTGAATGTAGCAAAGTGACCTCCGTAAAGCTGACCCATGGCAATGCTCTAGAACTCCTTGCACATCCTCTTCAGCTATGCATCTCCTGTAAATGCTGTCTGGTCCTCTCTTGTACAGGTAGGGCTCATCCCAATAGTAATGCCTAGCATCCTTGAAGAATTTCTTCCTCTTGTAAGCATCAAAGCTACTAGGGACTTCTCCGGACACCATGAAGTTCACTATATCAGCATACCATGGCAAATTCTCATCACGCAGAGCCTTAACTTCTTCCAGCCTGGCTTTCTCATCAAAACTCTCCTTCAAGATCATGATTGCCATAAGCTGTTCTTCAGGCATAGAATCATTGATGGGGATCATGTCTTCAACTCGCATCCTAGAGAGATGATCAGCAACTCCATTTTCTACTCCCTTTTTGTCCACAACTTCTATATCAAACTCTTGAAGCAAAAGGATCCATCTGAGAAGTCTTGGCTTTGTATCTTTTTAGCGAAGATGTGTCTAAGGGCAGCATGGTCAGTGTGCACAATCACCTTGGATCCAACTATATAGCTTCGAAACTTCTCAAAGGCAAAGACTATGGCAAGGAGCTCCTTCTCTGTGGTTGCATACTTGCACTGAGCATCATCCATAGTCTTGCTTGCATAGTAGATGACATTGAGTTTCTTGTCTATCTTTTGGCCAAGCACTGCTCCTACTGCATAGTCAGATGCATCACACATAATCTCAAATGGGTGATCCCAGTTTGGAGCTTGTACTATTGGCGCAGATACCAGAGCATCCTTCAGCAAGGTCCAAGACTTGTGGCATTCTTCATCAAACTCAAAATCTGTCTCCTTGCATAGAAGCCTTGTCAAGGGTCTTGCTATCTTTGAGAAATCCTTGATGAATCTTCTGTAGAACCCTGCGTGACCCAGAAAACTCCTTATGTCCTTCACAGTCTTGGGAACAGGGAGCTGCAACATGACATCCACCTTAGCTCGATCGAGCTCGATCCCTTTCTCGGAAATCTTGTGTCCAAGCACAATCCCTTCTCGAACCATGAAGTGGCACTTCTCCCAGTTGAGTACTAGATTGGTCTCCTCACACCTCTGCAACACCCTGCACAAGTTAGACAAACATGAGGAGAAGGATGCTCCATAGACTGAGAAATCGTCCATGAAGACTTCTACCATCTCCTCTATCAGATCTGAAAAAATGGAGGTCATGCACCTCTGGAAAGTAGCTGGAGCATTGCACAGCCCAAATGGCATCCTTCGATAAGCAAAGGTGCCATAAGGGCATGTGAAAGTGGTCTTCTCCTGATCATTAGGGTGGATCGGGATTTGGAAGAAACCACTGTAGCCATCAAGAAAACAATAAAAAGGGTGGTTTGCCAATCTTTCTAACATCTGATCAATGAAAGGGAGAGGGAAATGATCCTTTCTAGATGCTGAATTTAGCTTCCTATAGTCAATACACATGCGATGCCCCACTATTGTTCTAGTGGGAATCAGCTCCTCTTTGTCGTTTTTAATGACAGTGATCCCCCCTTTCTTTGGGACGCAATGAACTGGAGATATCCAAGTGCTATCACTGATGGGATAGATTATCCCAGCATCAAGCAACTTGAGTATCTCTTTCTTCACTACTTCCTTTAGATTGGGGTTCAACCTTCTCTGAGGTTCAATGCTTGACTTACTTTCATCCTCTAGATGAATCCTATGGATGCATAGGTCAGGGGAGATCCCCTTGATATCATCTAGAGTGTAACCTATTGCCTTTCTGTACTTTCCTCAATTCAACAAGCAAAGCACTCAACTGTTCAGGTTCCAAATCAGAGTTCACAATGACAGGGTAAGTTGAGTTTTCACCCAGAAATGCATACCTGAGGCCCTCAGGCAAAGGTTTGAGGTCGACTTTAGGCGCCTTGAGCTCAGACCAATCTCCTTGAGCTTGCTCCTTGCATTCAGCCCCAGCTCGATCGAGTTCGTTTGTTCGAAACTCGACTCGATCGAGTTCTTGATCGAGCTCACTGCCATGACTTCGCAAACTGGCCTGTCCAATCCTCAATGCTCAGAATGTTTGGAACTGGTCTGAAGGTGTCAAGGAGCTTCTTGTACTCATCAGTTTCTGAGCTCACATATCCCTCTGAAGAATCCTTGGTCAAAGCAACTTGTAGGGATCCTCTGTTGATAACTCTTCTAAAAGCTCATCTGCCAACTGATCCATTTCCTCAACATAAAAGAGCTGACCTTCTATAGTTGGTTTCCTCATTGTATCCTTGATATCAAACTTCATCTTAGGTCCTTTCCCAAGTTTAGCTCAATTGTTCCTTCACAGACATCTATCATTGCTCTTGCTGTAGCTAGGAATGGCCTTCCTAGATCAATGGATCTGTTGGTTCCTCATCCATCTCAAGCACAATGAAGTCGGTGGGGATTTCTACATTCCCTATCCTCAAAGGCAGGTCTTCAAGCATCCCAGTTGGTAACCTTATCGATCTATCTGCCAAGACTAGTGAGATTCCGCAGGCTTGGTACTTGTGATATCCCAGTCTCTTTGCTACAGACAAAGGCATGAGGCTGACAGATGATCCTAGATCGCAGAGGCTGTTTTTGAAAGATAGGGGTCCCAACATGCAGGGCAAAGTGAAACTCCCCGGATCTTCCTTTTTGTCGGAGATGACCTTCCGCTGAATGATTGCACTGCACTCACGAGTCAACACTACCATCCCTTGTGCTTCCCTGGTTCTTTGCTGAACAGCATCCTTCAGAAATTTCTGATAAGGTGGAATGAGCATCAAGGCGTCGATGAAGGGCAACTTCAACTCAAGCTGTCTCATTAGTTCATCAAACTTGGCCTTGTGTGCTTCCAACAGTTGTTTCTTGAACCTTCCTGGAAAGGGCAGAGGGGGTTTGTATGGTGGTGGTCCTGCTGGAGTGTCTTTCTTCTTTGCAACAGGTTTAGCTGGTTGGCTGGAGCTTGCTTTGTCTGTCTCTTCTGGCTCGATCGAGCTCTGGTTTGTCTTGCAGTGTCTCGGTTTCTTCAGCTCGATCGAGTTCTGGTTCAGGGTTTTGTTCCAGCTCGATCGAGTTCGGGTCGAGTTATCAGCATACTCGACTAAATCCTCCCCTTCCTCGTCATCGATGTCCACAGCGATTTGGGGTGGGCTACCTCTACTGGAATTGCCCACTTCTTAGTGTAACTGCTTGGGCATACTCTTGTGGTGAAGAGGATGATGCACTTGAAGACTCAATGATTTGACTCTTGAAGTCAATGACTAGTTTAGAGTGTATCTCAACCAGCTTGTGTTCATTTCCAGAGAACCTTTGGCTTGCCCTTGTAAAAGTTGTTGGAGCATTTCCTTCATATCCCAATCTTGAGTTGGTTGGGTATGAGTAGTCCTTGTGTTGAAGCCTTGTGGAACACTTTGTTGTAGGTGCGGCCAGGGGGCTTGATAGTTGTTGTATCGCCCTTGTTGAGGATTCCTATAGCTTCCTTGTCTATTTTGAATGTAGCAAACTTCTTGTGTTGTCTCCTCCCCTTCCTGGTCCTTGACTAAGGTTTGTTCTGAGACATAGTTGACATGCTTGGCAGGGAATTGGGCTAGGATCAGTTTGTCCAACTTCGAAGTTGAGTGCAAGCATGTCTTTTCTCATCTGAGCTCCAGCTCGATCGAGTGGCGGTCGAGCTCCATCTGCTATCATACTGCTCTCCATAGCATTCCTTTGATATGGCCATGTTCTCCACAAGTTGCCAGCCATCATCTACATCCTGGTTGAGGAAGTTCCCATTGCTAGCTGTGTCTAGCATCTCCCTATACCTAGGCAAGCATCCTCTATAAAGAGTGGAGAGTAGTGATTCATTGTTGAATCCATGGTGTGGGCACTGACTTGTGTAGCCTTTGAACCTCTCCCAAGCCTCTGCGAATGTCTCATTGTTTCGCTGGATGAAGCTGGATATCTCTCCTCTAAGCTTGGCTGTGCGACCGGTGGAGAAAAACTTAGCAAGAAAGGCCTTCTTGCATTCATCCCAAGTGGTGATTGTGCCATGGGGCAAGCTCTTCTCCCATTGGTGAGCTTTGTCAGCTAGAGACATAGGAAAGAGTCTCAGCTTGATGGCATCTTCAGAGACACCATTGATCTTTGTCAAATCACAAAGCCTATCAAACTCATCAAGGTGGTCAATGGGGTCTTCACTTGGCAATCCATGGAACATCTTGTTCTGACAAGGTTGATCATTCCCAGCTTGATCTCAAAGTTGTGGTTCTGCACTGGTGGTGGAACAATCCCTTGTCTCTGTTGGTGGCGGTTTGGAGCATCTCCTTGACCAATCGGTCGAGTTTGCCTAGCTCGACCGAGTCCATTGCCCAAAGGGTTTCCATTCCCCTCTGGTACATCCATTGTATCAGCAACAAGCACCTCAGGTTCCTCTTGTACCCTCTGTGACCTCTGAACCCTCTTTCTACCCGTTGTAAGTCTAGCTCGACCAAGTCTTCAGTAGACCGACTCGATCGAGTTCGCATACACCTGCAAAAAGAGACAAAAACCCAGCAGTACAATAGAACAGGGGTGGTATAGCTTGATCGTCCAAGTGTGTTTGAAACTCAAATGCAACAAAAATATTCCCAAATCGGCAACGGCGCCAAATTGATGATAGGATTTGTGTGTGGATGTGAAAAGATATGAAATGAGATGGTGGAATGCAACAGTGGTATATGATGGTGGTAAGATGCAAACACAAACACAGTCAACAATTCCTCTTAACCATCATAGTTGATGTAGTACAAAGGGTTATCAATCCAAAATGGGAAACTTGTCACTCTATGAGAATATGAAACAACCAGAAAGTCAAGCAAGCAGTATAGATTTGAAGTAACACTAACAACCTAAAAAAATGAAAAGCAGTGCAATAAAAGTAAACAAAGCAGTGAAGTCAGCTCGACCAGCTCGAGTCCAGAGCTAGCTCGATCGAGTTTAGGGACGAGTTGAGACAAACAAAGCTAAAGGTGACGACTTTAACAAGATAAAGAGAGAATTAGGGTTCAAGACAGGGTTTTGCAATCAAAGGAATCTACACTTAATCAATCTAGCTCTTAAAACTCCTTGTATCAAGGCTTCTCTTGATATTGGGCTTCTCAATGCCTAGCCAACCCTTTCCCAAGGTGGAGGCTATCAACCAAGGAATGATCTCAGAAACAGGGGGTTAGCCAGTGAGAATCAAACCTTGGAGGCTATAGGATCATTGCCCAAACTAATCCATCCAACCCCTTAGACCTCTATTGTCTAGAGCAAGAGATATTGGAGCTCTTAGTGGATCTTTTCCAGCGAATGCCATCACTTTCGTGTGGGGAGTCGCCTAAGGACTTACAAGCCAGGGGTAGTGGTCATGTAGCCTTAAGATCTATCCAAAAGAGAGAGAATCTAGATTAAGACCATAAGCTAGAAGGATTAAGCATATGAAACCTCTAATCTATCCCATCTCAAACCCAATGGGTAACTACTCACTACACATGAATGTAAACACAAGCAAATGCAATAAAAGAGACATCATAAGAAAGAGGAGATGAAATTAAACAACTTTTATTGAAATAAGCAAGTGCAAATACAAAGAGAGATTATCCAGGATCTAGGATTCAAGAAGCAAGAGCTTCAAGAACACAAAGATGGGATTAGATCTCTAAAAAGTAAAAGACAATAAATTAAAAGAAACTAAAACAAAATAATCTAAAGCTTGGTGGTTTTTTCGTGGCTTAGAGCCTTTAAATACAAAGAGGATTAGGTTTAGGGTCAAAGGAAAGTCAAGGGGGAAGCAACATTTTTCGGGTTTGACTTTGACTTCTCAGCTCGATCGAGTTGAAGCTTGGCCGGTCGAGTTGAGGAACTCGACCGGTTGGTCGAGTAGACGGTCGAGCTGGTCTTCAAGATGGCTTCTCCCTTCTTCCTTTGCGTATCCAGTTGAGCTGCTTCCATGTGCCAAGTCCCTCCATGCTCCTTGTCCCATATGCTCCAGAATGCTCCAAAAGACCTATTTCAAAGGACCAAACATGCATATGTATGCAAATGCAACCTAAAACTAACATGAATGCATAAGAAGAGAAAAGGAACAAGATATGATGCAAATGGAAGCTAAAACTATGCAAAAGATGCATAAAAGATGTGCTAAAACTATGTAAAATGCAAGTACATCAGCCTCCTATGGATAGCATGAGTGAGGCATTTGATCAATTGCAAATGGTCAGAGATGTTCTCGCCAACAGTGACAAAGTTTCAGAGGTCCTGAAGGAGTCTACTCATCAGTTCAACCTGCTTACTTCACCCACTTTCCTTGTGGTCAAGGATCAAGGGAAATTCACTCTCCCTTGCACACTTGGGCATCTTGAGCTTGACAATGCCTTAGTGGATTCTGGAGCAAGCATCAATCTGATCTCTCTCTCCATGGCAGAGAAACTAGGCATTGCTGGAGGCTTGCAGCGCCCTACTACTTCAATCATGTTTGGAGATGCAACTTCTAAGTCTCCTCTTGGAGTGTTCAAGAACTATCACTTGAAAATTGGAGAATGCATCATCCCCTTGTGTTCTTGTGTTTAGAGCCCTTCCTAGTGGCTCATCAAACAAAGCTTGAAGGCTTTCTTCATCAAGAACACAAGGGGATGGTGCATTCTCCAATTTTCAAGTGATAGTTCTTGAACACTCCAAGAGGAGACTTAGAAGTTGCATCTCCAAACATGATTGAAGTAGTAGGGCGCTGCAAGCCTCCAGCAATGCCTAGTTTCTCTGCCATGGAGAGAGAGATCAGATTGATGCTTGCTCCAGAATCCACTAAGGCATTGTCAAGCTCAAGATGCCCAAGTGTGCAAGGGAGAGTGAATTTCCCTTGATCCTTGACCACAAGGAAAGTGGGTGAAGTAAGCAGGTTGAACTGATGAGTAGACTCCTTCAGGACCTCTGAAACTTTGTCACTGTTGGCGAGAACATCTCTGACCATTTGCAATTGATCAAATGCCTCACTCATGCTATCCATAGGAGGCTGATGTACTTGCATTTTACATAGTTTTAGCACATCTTTTATGCATCTTTTGCATAGTTTTAGCTTCCATTTGCATCATATCTTGTTCCTTTTCTCTTCTTATGCATTCATGTTAGTTTTAGGTTGCATTTGCATACATATGCATGTTTGGTCCTTTGAAATAGGTCTTTTGGAGCATTCTGGAGCATATGGGACATGAGGAGCATGGAGGGACTTGGCACATGGACGCAGCTCAACTGGATACGCAAAGGAAGAAGGGAGAAGCCATCTTGAAGACCAGCTCGACCACCTACTCGACCAACCGGTCGAGTTCCTCAACTCGACCGGCCAAGCTTCAACTCGATCGAGCTGGGGAGTCAAAGTCAAACCCGAAAAATGTTGCTTCCCCCTTGACTTCCTTTGACCCTAAACCTAATCCTCTTTGTATTTAAGGGCTAAAAGCCACGAAAAAACCACCAAGCTTTACTTTATTTTTGTTTTAGCTTTTCTTTAATTTATTGTTTTTACCTTTTAGCAACCCTAATCCATCTTTGTGTTCTTGAAGCTCTTGCTTCTTGAATCTAGATCCTGGATTATTTGCTTTGTATTTGCACTTGCTTATCTATATTATAATGAGAGGATAACTCTCTCCATATGAGTGACACCTCAGCAATTTTTTTTGTCTATCAAATTGCCACATGGCATTCTCTCATTTATTAAAAAAAAATATATTAAAAAAAACATGAAACTCAAACTCAAATCGTTTTATCTTCCACAGTTACGTTTTGTCATCACGATCGGCAATTTCACAGTTCATGGATTGATTAATGTTCACCGGAATACAACTTCAATCCAATAAAAAGGACCATCAAAGGAGATTTCTATACATAAGGCCATCATCAAACTATAAGAAATTGCCTCAAACCTTTAACGTAGTAGAGAAAGAGTGTCAACGCTAAAAAAAGCTACAGAATTTGGGGAATAAGACTAACCGGTGATACGAACGAGAGTTTCTCTTCCAGATAGATCAGTCACATGCTGCAAGATTGAAAAGGACTTGAGGTTATATGTAATGCACAAAAAGAATATATCAATGGAGCTAAAATGATGATAGAACCTTACAATGAAAGTGTCATTGAAGGATGCAAAGATGTGAACAACTCCAAAAACTTGCTCCCCATCACGGACAGCTGGTTCCAGCGTCACATTTTCCTCCTTGTGTTCTCTGGTCTTTCACCTCGACTACATAAACACAGAGAGAGAGAGAGAGTGAGAACAAAACAAATCACTATCCACAAGCAAACGATTTACGTGATTGATTGACTATCGACTGAAAATCTTCACATTGCTTAAACAGAAATTAACTTCAAAAAGTTTATCCAGGTTGCAATTCGAAAGGTAATCCACAATTTGAGATAGAAATACATTTGATTCGAAATTGAGATCTAAGAAACTCCAAGGAGTGGTGGAGGAGAGAGATGGTGGGTGTAAGTGATTACCATGATTAGGGTTTTTGGATCTTCTTCGCTGAGAGCTGACAGAGGCAAACGAAAGAGGATGTTACGGCGACAAAATTCGCTTCATAAAATTAGGGTTTTGATGGGAAGGCTAAAATTTATTGACGTAAAGACTTCCACGTTCGCTTTACCTCCGTAAAGGCTAAAAGGATAACGTATTTTCAAAATAAAAAATAACAAAAATATCAAACTCCACGTTTCCTTTACCTCCGTCCTCTTCGGCCCAGCGGACGGCGAAAGCTCTCTCCTCGGAGAGATCGATGGCGACTCCAATCTTATGGCGAGCTCCAGCTGTGGGAGTTTGTGTTGTGTTAATGATCAGCCACCCGATGTTGGGCCACCCCGTGGATGTTGTTCCCACAATTGCCCACGCTTCAGATGATGACCTCTGAGCGTGAGGGGGGGTGTTAATGATGAAAGTCCCACATCGGAAGTTGGAGAAATAACTAACTAATATATAAAGGGTTAGGGCCTCTCCACCTATTGCCAATTGGTTTTAGGTTGGATGCCCATATATAACCCGAATTTGACATGGTATCAGAGCAGTCGATTCTGGGCCACCCGTGGATGTTGTTCCCACAATTACCCATGTTTCAGATGATGATCTCTGAGCGTGAGGTAGGGTGTTAATGATCAGCCACCCGATGTTGGGCCACCCCGTGGATGTTGTTCCCACAATTGCCCACGCTTCAGATGATGACCTCTGAGCGTGAGGGGGGGTGTTAATGATGAAAGTCCCACATCGGAAGTTGGAGAAATAACTAACTAATATATAAAAGGTTAGGGCCTCTCCACCTATTGCCAATTGGTTTTAGGTTGGATGCCCATATATAACCCGAATTTGACATGTTCCGGCGGAGGAGGGAGTGGAGGAGGAGTGGGAGTGGTGGTGGTGGTGAGAGTGAGAATGACGAGGGGAAGGAGGGTGATGGATTTTGATGTAATGATGTGTCGTGGATGAGTGAGAAAAGCTTCGGCGATGTGAGATGGTGATTGAGCCGCGCCAATATCCCTTGCGCGAGAATGACAAATATTATAGAAGGGAATATATTATTGAGTTGTGTTGTTGATACAAGAGAATAAGACCCATATATATAGGGTTAACATTAACATAATGATAACACCAAATAATGTAAATCTTCCTAATCCTTATCACAATAGGATTTCTCTAGAATATTCTTCGGTTTGGCTTCATGGGCTTCACTTCATAAACGGGCTTCAATGGCCCACAATACTTGGTTCACCTTGCTCACCAAGATATCTCCAATACTCCCCCGCACGACAAAGGTGGACGCGAAACGCAAAATCTGCAGTCACAATGCGGAACACCTATGTCGTGGACAATCATGTCGAGGATGGCAATACAAGTCAATAGGGATGGAACATGCTCGTCTTTGTTCT